AGAATAGGTAAGGGCTTCATGTGCCACAGGAGTAAGGGAGACACGTGGCAGGGAAAGATTTCTTAGCCCTTTGATCAAGCTCGTGACTGACTTTTATTCCTGGTTCCTACTTTCGTGAGTCAGCTTGGTCTTTTTTGATTTTTTTCAATTAAAAAATGTTTTCCCCTGCTTGGTCTTTTTCTACTCCCAAACAACTTCCTGTTGTATGGGTATTCATTCAACAGATATTAACAGAGCTCTCTTATGTGCTTGGCATTATTTTAGGTTGTGACTAAGACAGACAAGCTCCCTGCCCTCATGGAGTTTACATTCTGGTGGGGAGAGACATTAACTTATATACAAATAAACTAGCTAATTTAAGATAGTGATAAGTTTAACAAATTCATAAAACAATGATAGAGTGTGATGGGAGGTGGAGGGAAGGCTGTTTATGCCATCCGAGAAAGGGGCATTAGGGCTGAGAACTGAGTGATGAAGAGAGAAGACTGCCATGCTATCTGAAGTCAAGTTCTAAGTGGAGAACCGCAAGGGCACAAGCCCTGGAATGGCATGTTTGAGGACTAGAAAGCTAGCCAGTGAAAACTGGGACATAGAGAATAAAGGGGAAGAGTACAGATGAAGTTAGAGAGGTAGGTAACGAAGTGGGGACTCATGATCACATTCAGCCCACACAGTGCTTTTCAGCACCGCACTCTACCGAGTGAGCCACGGGCCGGCCTCACACAGTGCTTTTGTGATTTTACTAAAAAAATCCTGACTTGCAATTTCTCTTGAAAATTAAAAAAAAAAAATAACCCAAAAAACTAGGCCATGCCACCATGCTAGACATTATTCCCGAGTGAAAACAATTGCCTTCAACATAGAGCAGTTATGCTCTCCTGCCCCCTTTCTTCTCTGTTTAATGTCATCAGTTCATAAGTAGTAGACATTTGTATTGTCAACCCCTGAGCACCAGGTAGGTTAATAAGGACTTCGATTTTTTTCCCCCTCAGTGTGACAGAAGCATATAATGAAGGGTTTTAAGTGACAGAGTCACTTGATCTAAATTTTTAATAGATCACTCTACTTTGTTGATAATAGTTTGTGGCTAGTGTGGGGAGAGGAAACAATAAATGAAAGAGATGTTGATGGGTAGAACCAGTGGAGACAGAAAGAAGTGGACAGATTAGAGGTAGAGCTGACAAAACTTCACTAATGCATTAGATTTGGGGGATAAGGGAAGGGAGTGAAGGATGACTCCCAGGGTTTGCCTTGAGCACCTGGGTGGGTGGTGCTGCCATTTACTGTGACAGGAAAGACTACAGAGGACAGTTTTGGGAAGAAAATCAGAGCTCTGTTTGAAGTTTACTAAATTTAGGGCACCCACTGAACATCTAAGTGGAATGTTAGATAGGTAGTTAGATGAGCCAGAAGATTTGGAGGAAAATCAAGGTTGGTGATCTAAATTGGGAGTCTTTACTACATAGGTGATATTTAAACCCATGGGAATGGATGAGATCAGTGAGGGAGGAAATACAGATACAGAATTCATTGGGGTTGGGTGGTTAGAGCATGGTGCTAACACCAAGGTCCAGGGTTTGATTCTTGTACTGGCCAGCTGCCAAAAAAAAAAAAAAAGTGGCAGTGGGGTGGGGGGTGGGGGGTGGGGAAGCAGTAGAATGCAGTAAGTTGCGCGATTTTTTTTTTTTTTTTCAAATGTAAATCTTCTGAGTTCCTGGGTCATAAGGGATACTAGACTTTTCAGTATTAAAAAGCAATCTAAGGTCATCTACCTACCCATTTATTTACTCAACCCCCCTACACAACATCTAGCCAAGTAGTTAGCCAATTAATTGGTGCTTCACTGGCAGGAAACACACTATTTCCATTTAGACCTTCTATTCTTTGTTCATTAAAATGAGTCCATGTCTCACTGTACTCCAATCACATTTCATAGCAGAGCAGACTAAGGTTCAGAGAGGTGACTGCCCAAGATCATTAACCATTGAAAGGTAGAGTGGGAACATAAGCCAGGGTCTTCTGTTGCCAGTTTCCTTGTTCTTTCCAGTATTCCATACTAATCTAGTGATTATTGCTATTAAAGATTTTAGGCCTAAATTATAATTTCCCCTGCAATTTTAATTCCACATCATCCTATTTTGTTCCCTGGTGTGTAAAAAGCAGTCATTACTTTCATTATTAAATGAAAAATGTGCAAGCATTATGCAGATTTTTTTTTTTTTTTTTAAAAGATGACCGGTAAGGGGATCTTAATCCTTGACTTGGTGTTGTCAGCACCACGCCCAGCCAGTGAGCGAACCGGCCATCCCTATATGGGATCCGAACCCGGGGCCTTGGTGCCATCAGCACCGCACTCTCCCGAGTGAGCCACTGGGCCGGCCCTGCAGATTTTAAGGTACTGAAGAAATGCACATTTGAGAGCTAGTTGGATCAGCATTTTTTCTTCCAAGCTAGGGGGACTGTTTTAAATTGGTAAGTGAAGTGGGTGACAGGATACCTTTTTAGCATTTACAATAATTCTATATTGTGATGCTGGGTGAATAAGTGGGCTGTCTAAAAATAGAAGTGACTAGAAGGAATCCTTGGGACCAATTCTTACAATTTAGAAACAGTGGTGGGTATTCAGTCTAATGTGAAAACCTATGACTCAGCTTAAAGAAGGTATAATGGAGCTTTTCAATGTCTGGAGGATCAGGAAGGATCCACTAGCGACTGTGGCTGTTTACATTGATCTCAAATTCAACAAAGATTTATTGAGTACTGATTATACTCTGGGATACAGAGGACTGGGATCAGATTTTGAGGGCTTTTTGTCCTTCTCAAAAGCTCACTGGGGGTTCATATGAGTAGTAACACACACCTCGTACCCTTAAGCTCTTCTTTAATTGGGTTACAATTAAGGACTGAATCTTCAAGGAAAAATTGTTACAGAAAGTTCATATTCTTCACAGCATGGCATTTAAGGCTTTCCATATTGTTCATAATCTACCTTTCCAGTCACAACTCCCATTGTTGCCAGGAATGAACCCTCTGCTCTAGTCAAATTGATCTGCTTACTACCTCCTGAGCACATTTTATTTTTTCAGTGGGTACTTTTCTCTTTAGATCTGTGCTGTTCTTTATGGTAGCCACTAGTCACATACGGCTACTGAATACTTGAAATGTGGCTAGTTTATTGAGATGTGCTGTAGTAGATACATCCAAATTTCAAAAATGTAGAACAGAAAGGTAAAATATTTCATCAACAGTTTTCAAATATTGATTACATATTGAAATATTAATATTTTGGATATATTGGATTAAATACAACACAAACTAATTTCACCTGTTTGACTCTTTAATTGGCTATTAGAAAATGTAAAATATATACTCCTATATGGCTTGCATTGTATTTTTATTGGACAGTGATCTTCTACATCATTAGCCGAGACAGAACTGGGCCCACCATTCAAACCCATCTTTGTACTTTTTTGCATGCTGAAATAATAAAGTGGTGAATGAAAGAAAATTGTAAGTATGGGTTCATACATTTGAGGCAGGAAAGCCCTCTGTGTCATCAAACTGAAGTTATTATCACTGATCAGCTGGTAGATCAAGAAAGCCAAGACTGTGCCAGAGGCAGTAGAACAGTTAATGTGTGGCATGCATCAACTTCTCAGTGTTAGATAACTTCTTTTGGGCATTGACACTAAAAACAAACAAAATAACGCTTGAATCCCATCTTTATCCCTCCTGTTTTTCTTCTTCTAGTCACTAAAATGTTAGCTATTCCTGTGAAATCCTTTCAATTCTATTCCTTTTTCCCTAAATCATATCTAATCAAAGTCTTACTCACCTTGCTTTTGTCTTTTTTTTTTTTGATAACCGGTAAGGGGATCTTAACCCATGACTTGGTGTTGTCAGCACCACACTCACCCAATGAACTAACCGGCCATTTCTATATGGGATCCGAACCCGTAGCCTTGGTGTTATCAGCACCACACTCTCCCAAGTGAGCCACGGGCCGGCCCCCTCACCTTGCTTTTGAAAATGTATTTTCCAAGTAGTCTCCCAGCTTCCTTCTCCCCTTCCTGTGTTCATTCCGTTCTATATACTGCAACAAGAATAATCTTCCATATTTCTTTGCCAATGTAATGTTTTACTCAAAAACCTCCAGTTTATTTCCACAGTGCCTGCAGGAAGAATTCTTTCACCTAGCATTCAAGGTTTTTCAAACCTTATCTCTTGGTACTCTGGTCCTTCAAACCTGGGCTTTAGTGAAACTATACTGAGTTAATAAAATACTTAGAACCCTGCCTGGCCTATACTAAGAACTATACAAGTCTTAGCTATTATTACTGCTTACTTTTATTTGAATATGCTGTATGCATTATCATCTCTGGAAACACTGCTCTTTTCCATTTCAATACCTCAGTTTTCAAAGGGAGGAGTGATTTAAACCATCACTGACCACTTCAAGCTGATTATTACTGCTGGAAAGACAACCTAAATATCCCTCTTATAATAAAGAACCTGTAACTATTAACTCTCATTTACCACAAAATAATAAATGTTAATATTTCTTTCATTCCCATCTTTGTACCTTTTGGCATGCTTAAATAATAGAAATAAAAGGTAATATTTCGTTCATTCAGTAAACAATAAATTTATGGAATGTGTTATTTATAAAAAAAAGCAAAGCCCAAAAAAATATAAATGGGTTCTGGATTTAGGGCAGTTGCTCTCCAACTTTGGCGTATATTAGAATAAACTTGGAATTTTCATAAATAATACAGTTGCTTGGGTCCCACCTCAGATTACTGAATCTCTCTAAGGGAAGGACTCAGGCACTTGCATTTTTTTAAACGTTCATAGATGGTTCTCAAGTGCACCTCCATCTGAATTACTGGTCTAGTCAAGAGAAACTTTGGGTGAAAGAGATTGGTTATGTTTGATATATATTTTTCTCAGTGTTCTTCTAAATAATGTTTTGAAAATAAAATACTCAACTAGAGAACAGATTAACCTAAAACGACTTACGTGTTTATGAGCAATATTTTAAAAAACAAAAAACACCACAAAAACGCAACCCTTCGAGTTTGATTTAGGAGTCAGAAAAAGACATACATCCCAAATAGTATACCAAGTATTCCTCTACAAGCTTGTCTGTTGGTCTGACTTATATTAATTTGTTTCAAAACAGAATTACTTAAGTAAATATATAGTTAACTATGTATAATATTTGTAACATACACATTTTACAACTCAAAATTAAAGTTAAGCCTGGATATTTGAAAACTTGGCAGTTTGGAATACAACACTTAAAAAATTTCAAAAACAAGTGTATCTCAAAAACATTTTACACCAATTTTCTAAATTGCTGTTACTCACTGGCTCATTTTATCTCAACAATCCAGTTAGGAGACAGCATTTTTAAACAATAGCAGAGGCTGTTAGAAATCTTGGGTCTTTAAAACCTTATAACAAAGCCCCTTTCACCCTCCAATCCTGAGACAACAAATCCTGTAGTTCTCCCTCATCATCGCTGTCAGCATTCTCCTCTTCCTTTTTCTGTAGTTCTTGTATGGTCAGAACCTCTTTAAGCTTATTTTTTATTTCATCCTGGCGATTCCGCAGCTTTTCTACCCGACGGTAACATTCTATCTGTTCATCGATCTCCCCAATCTGGCGGTCCAGCCGTCCCTCTTCATCCTCTTCAGCAACTATGGCTTCAGAAATAGTGTTCACCTGCCTCATGGCTTTTTGAAATTCGTCCCACTCTTTGTCCATCTGATCCTTTGGGGCGTCAACCTTCCGAACTCTTGCATCTACCTCAGGGTCGTCAAAAAAACCTTCTGGTAATGCTTCCGCGGTGTTTTCTCTTCTTTCCACCACTTTTTCATGTATTTCTGCTTTCTCAATCGATCCTGAATGAGGAATTAAGGGGGCCTTGGGAGGCTTTGTATTAAAGCAATGGTCTGGCAGCACACTATTTGCTGCCGCCCGCGAGGAGGAAAGTGAGTGGTCCTTGCTCTCTGCGTCGCGCGGCTCGTTGGCGTCTTCCGCTTTTCTTTCTCCACCCTCCTCCTCCTCCTCGTCGTCGTCGTCTTCATAATCAGGGAGTAAACCGAGTCCCGAAGGCTTATTGGCAGTCGCTCTAGTGGACTCCTTTCCTGTTTTGTCACAGTTGGTGGACAAAGCGGATGTGGAAGGCAGTACCTGAGGCACCGAGGGGGCCCTCGCTCTCTTCGCATCTCGGCCGTCTGCATCCGGTGCCTTCCGCTTGGCGGACTGAGGCGCCACACTGACGGACGGACCCTGGATGCCTTCCTTCGCGCCTTTCAGCTTGGCCACTTTCTCTCGGTGCTGCTTTCCCAGGACATGAGTCTGCCACAGGAGCTCGCTCTTAACCGGCGAGTTACACAAGGCACAACTCAGCTGCCCCAAACGGTTGTACTTGGCGAATGGAGATTCTATCCGTTTCCGGTTAGTGCTCTGACGCTGCTTCTCCTTCATCAACCGTCGCAGTTCGTCCTGATTCACCACTCGCTTCCCTGCCGGAGTCCGAGCAGAGGCGGAGGATGCCATCTTTGCGACCAGATCACAGGCCATTCTGGCTTCCGTCCCGGCGAGGCCTGAGGACGTCACTTCCGGTCTGGGCGATGATTGGCAGAGGAGAGTGGGGCGTGGCGGTGGGGTTTCCTGTGAGAGTTGCGGCTGGGGCAGTTATTTGCCCCAAACTGTCTGTAGTTGGCTGCGATAAAGGCGGTGAACTCCAAGGCCGAGGTGGCGCGGGCCCAGGCTGCCTTGGCGGTCAATATATGCGCTGCCCGAGGGCTGCAGGATGTGCTGCGGACCAATCTGGGCCCTAAGGGCACCCTGAAAATGTGAGGCGGCGGTTGGAGCGGCGGTTAGGACGCCGGGCGGTCGCTGGGTGTGGGGGCGCTCACTGAGGCAGACGTTGGGCGAAGTCGTTAGAGCGATGCGGTCGCTCCTGTGGGCCTGGTTTCCCTCATTCTCATTCCTGCCCTGAGGACATCTCTACCAGGTGGCGCAGGACGAGAAAAGCCTCCCCGAGGGCCCATGTGTTAAGCTGTGACTCCCCCACCCTTTTCCCCTCCCCTTTTCGTTGTTTCTTTCTTTCTTTTTTTTTTTTTTTTTTTGTAAAGATGACCGGTAAGAGGATCTTAACCCTTGACTTGGTGTTGTCAGCACCACGCTCTCTCCCAAGTGAGTCATGGGCCATTACTCTATGACATAATTTTGTTTTTGTGTGGCAGTGGGCAGTAGTGGGAGGGGAATGGGCTTTGGAACCAGGCAGCCATGGGTTCAAATCCAAGTTCCATAAAATTCTAGCAGTGAGTACTTAGGCAAGTTACTTGAAAGCTCTGTGCCTACTTCTTCATATCTATTCATCCTTTTAGCAAAAATCTATCAGGCCGGCCCGTGGCTCACTTGGTAGAGTGCGGTGCTGATAACACCAAGGCCACGGGTTCGGATCCTATATAGGGATGGCCGGATTGCTCACTGGCTGAGCGTGGTGCTGACAACACCAAGCCAAGGGTTGAGATCCCCTTACCGGTCATCTTTAAAAAAAAAAAAAAAAAAAAAATCTATTAAGCACCATTTTCTTTAGTCAAGAGTGAGGGAAAGAGACTGTGGTGAGGGCAAAAAGGAATAATAGAGATACATCCATCCTCACAGGAATAAGCAAAATAAGTTAGTATTAATGGTAAAAGAGGGCACTTACGTACTAGATGCTGAGAACACAGAAACGACCAAGATACAGTTTCTGTTCTTAAGGAGATGTGGTAGAGACAGATGTGCTAATTATATATAGGTGCATATGATTCTACTGAGGAAAGGGACTAATTACTAATGGGTTGAAGGAAAAACCTCTCGAATAACAGATGATGTTTGATCAGAGTCTTAAAGAAGGAAAAATCATTCACCACTTGCAGAAGGGAGAGAAGACCTAGGTAATTTCAGGAATAAGAAAGCCCAATGGTGTAAATCCAACATAAGTGAAAACAAAACATGATGTAATAGGGAACCAAAAGATTTGCTTGTGGGAAGGTAGTACATGAGGCAGGGTAGATAGACAAAAGCCAGATTAGGAAAGGTCAAGTATATCATTGCTAAATTAGTATGGATTTTATTTTGAAGATGATGGAGAACATAAAAATCATTGAAGGATTTTTGATCATGGAACTGACTGAGTCACATTGCCTTATAGAAAGATAATTTAATGTAGTGTGGAGGGCAGATTAAAACTGGGAAGTATCAGGATACTGTCTAAGTTGTTCAAGGTAGAGGTGATGATGACAGTAGAAATGGAGAAAAAGGGGTAGATTAAGAGATATTTAAGGGCTGGCCTGTGGCTCACTTGGGAGAGTGTGGTGCTGATAACACCAAGGCCACGGGTTCGGATCCTATGTAGGGATGGCCGGTTGGCTCACTGGCTGAGCGTGGTGCTGACAACAGTAAGCCAAGGGTTGAGATCGCCTTACCGGTCATCTTTATAAAAAAAAAAAAAAAGAGATATTTAGGTTATAGAATTGACAGAACTTGGTGATCTAATAAATTTGAGGGATGAGGGAAACTAAGTTGAGCAATTGAATAAATGGTAAAACTCACCAAAGTAAGAAACAAAATTTTAAGAAAAGGAGCTTTGCAAATTTGTGCCTTGTTGACTGCTAATTACTCTTTTTTGACCAAACCAACTGTTCATAACCCATCAACTGCGCCTATCTTTAAACCTGTAAATGTTCCAGGTGGAATGAAATTGCCATAGCAGTCCATCTGGGGAGAAATGATTCTGTGAGCTGCAAATGGTGATAATTACTGTGGTATTTCCCAGTGGTACAATGGAAGTTTTCCAAGCTCAGTTCCCTGTATGAAGAATAGTGGGGTGGCAAACACTGGGAATGTCTTGCTTGGCTCTTGCCATGTGAGATTAATAACATCACTATTCTCTGGACAGGCTTGTTTCTGGTGCAGGTGACATCAAACTCACCAAAGATGGCAATGTACTGCTCCATGAAATGGTGAGCTGATGCTGTTAATTTTTTTTTTTCGTGACCGGCAACGGATCGCAACCCTCAGTGTTGCGCCCGCACCGGACCAGGACCGGCCACGGGATCGCAACCCTCGGTGTGGCCCCCGCTCCTCGCTCAGCCAGTGAGCGGCCGGTCTGTACATGGGATCCGAACCCTCGGCGGGAGCGCCGCCACGCTTCCCAAGCGGCGCACTGTAGCAGTGCGCCACCAGGCCAGCCCAATGATGCTGTTAATTTTAATAAATCTTAATAAGCATTGATTAAGAACTTAGTGCAACTTGGATATCTTTAAGCCATGTCTGTCAGATAAATACTGCAGTCTTGAGAGATGCTTGTGGGATTAAGCCTCAAAAAATGTTTTTTGGCTGTTTTCAAATCTTTGTATAGGCAAAGTAATAGCTTAGGGACACTTACAAATTAATAATGTCTTTTAAAGACACAGCATTATAGTCTTTGTAATCATGGAAAAATAAAAAATACTTTGCAATCTTAGTGGATGTATTCATCTTTGAGATTGGAGGATTTAATCTTATTTTGGAAATGTCACTGCATTCTGAAGCAAAGACTTATAAAATGTTCAAACCTCATACTTCTAAATATTTAAATTTTGGACTTGACATTCACTAAGTATTGATAATATAAAACTGGTAAACTTGTAAATGAATCTTATTTCATTTCTTAATTTTACTGTTGACCATTAGTTATCTTGTTTTTAGTAGCCTACTTCTTTTCTTTTTTTTTTGTCCTTTTTGAGACCGGCCACACCATGCTCAGCCAGTGAGCGCACCGGTCATCCCTATATAGGATCCGAACCCGCGGCGGGAGTGCTACTGCGCTCCCAGCGCCGCACTCTCCTGAGTGCGCCACGGGCTCGGCCCAGTAGCCTACTTCTTTATCTCATCCTCTCTCTTTTTTAATCTTTTGCTTGCTTTTTCCAGCAAATTCAACCCCCAACATCTTCCTTGATAGCAAAAGTAGCAACAGCTCAGGATGACATCACAGGGAATGGTACTACTTCAACTGTTCTAATTATCAGAGTTACTAAAACAAGCTGATCTTTACATTTCCGAGGTATTGAAATATTAGAATTGAAGTATTAGAATTTCACAGAATTCACACTTTATTTTGAATGGAAAGTTATTTTTTTTACTCATAAAATGGTTTAATTCTAGAAGGTAAAACCTAATTTTAATCAAGATATTCTTGGACAGGGGCTGGCCTGTGGCTCACTCGGTAGAATGCGGTGCTGATAACACCAAGGCCAGGGGTTCGGATCCTATATAAGGATGGCCGGTTCGCTCTCTGGCTGAGCATGGTGCTGACAACACCAAGCCAAGGGTTAAGATCCACTTACCGGTCATCTTTAAAAAAAAAAAAAAAGATATTCTTGGACAATTGTAACTGTAAATAACAATAGAACATTTTTTTTTGCTAAAATAATGCCTTTTATTGGAATTAGATACCCCATTTAAAAATCAAATATTTAAAATATATAAAGAGGTAAAAATTGCTCAGGTACTCATGAATAATGGTCTAAGAAAGAAAATACCACTGACAAAGCTGAAACCAAATTATGCACCTTTTAAAAAATAATGGGAGGGCTGGCCAGTTAGCTCAGTTGGGAGAACGTGGTACTGAGAACACCAAGGTCAAGAGTTCGGATTCCCTTACTGGCCAGCCATCAAAAAATAAATAAGAACCAGAGAAAAATTACAGAGGTTTCCATATTGAATTAATCACCAATCTAATTTTATTTTCCTTTATAAACCATCTACTCTAGCCAGAAATCATCACGCTCATTTCTACCTTTGTGCCTTTGTTCAATCTATATTCATTTCTTGGCATTATTTATCTCTTTTCTCTAAGTATTTGAATTTTTCTCTCTTTCAAGGACTGTTTCAGCAAATCATAAACTGGTCAAAGTGCTAGGATTATTATGTCTTTATATTTCAATTAGTATTGCAAATTGTCTATTAATTCAGTACCTTATCTGAACTTATCTCAGTTAGGATGCTTCTTGCTGTAAGCAGTAGAAACTTGACTAAAACTCACTTAAACAATAAGGAAATTATTATCTCTCATCATGGAACATTGAGAGGTAGATAAGGCCTGCTCCAGGGTTAGTAGATTAAAAAATTCTATCATCGATAAAGTAGCTGGGTTCTTTATGTTTCTTAGCACTTTCATACACAATGCTGTTTTGTCTTAAGGCTTATTTCTGTGTGCAAAACTGTCAGAGGAAGTCAGGGCAACCTGATTCGCTTAGTAACACTCAGCCTGAGAGGGCCAGGGGAAGCGATTCACCCAACTGTGGAATATAAATCCTTCCTTTAATATGATTGGGCCAACTTTAGTCTTAATGTCCATCCTAAACCAGTAACAGGGGAATTGACTTAGACTAATCATGATTCACTCCTTGAGCTAGGGATAGGGTCAGCCTCCTCTGAAGCACAGGTGGAAGAGAGGAACCTAACAAAATTAGGGTTGGTTTAGGAAGAAAAGTTTGGGAAGGGTGAGATGCTGACAGACGTTGGCATAATTATGAAACTGTGTGGCCTGTACAGTGATAGAGCTACGCAAACAATATGATAGAGGCAGTGAGGAGGGAGGGATGTTCCTAAACTAGCCTGCAGTAGTCAGTTAACTAGCTAAGCGCTCTCTGGAGCGAGTAAGGCCTGGGTTAAATCTTCAGGATGAGGAGGATTGAGCCAGGTTAGAGAATAAGGAGTGAGGAGAATGGCATTCAAGGCAGAAGGAACTACATGAGCAAAGGCACAAAGGAGAAACAACAAGGCACTGTATAGAGCTACAGGCAGTTTGGTGTTGCTGAAGTTTAAAGGGATGTGGAGAACAGGCTGGAGAAAGAGGTGTGGTCACTAAGTGCATGTAGTATGCTAACCGAGAAGTACACTTTATCCTGCTGTGAACAGACCAAACTTATCAACATATTAATGACTGATATGGTCAGATTGGCAATTTAAATATTTGGGAGACAGTTTTAAGGGAGTCAAGACCAGAGGTTCTCACAGTAGTCCAAATGAGAGATTGTGAGGTCCTAGACCGAGGATCATGACACAAGCTTTAGGGTCAGGTCTTGTGGGTTTAAACTGTGGCTTCACTTCTTACTAGCTTGGTGATCTAAAGCAAGTTACATTATCCCTTTAAGACTTGGTCTCCTCATCTGTGAAACAGGAATAATAATAACACGCACTTCATCGTGTTGTTGATAGGATTAAATTAAATAATTTATGTAAAACCTTTAGAGTAGTGCTCAGTAGAAATGCTCAACAAATGTCCACTTTCAAAGGTTACTATGGGACTGATGTAAAGGAAAGGAGGGGAGGGAATAAATTATGACAGACGTTGGCATAATTATGAAACTGTGTGGCCTGTACAGTGATAGAGCTACGCAAACAATATGATAGAGGCAGTGAGGAGGGAGGGATGTTCCTAAACTAGCCTGCAGTAGTCAGTTAACTAGCTAAGCGCTCTCTGGAGCGAGTAAGGCCTGGGCTAAATCTTCAGGATGAGGAGGATTGAGCCAGGTTAGAGAATAAGGAGTGAGGAGAATGGCATTCAAGGCAGAAGGAACTACATGAGCAAAGGCACAAAGGAGAAACAACAAGGCACTGTATAGAGCTACAGGCAGTTTGGTGTTGCTGAAGTTTAAAGGGATGTGGAGAACAGGCTGGAGAAAGAGGTGGGGTCACTAAGTGCATGTAGTATGCTAACCGAGAAGTACACTTTATCCTGCTGTGAACAGACCAAACTTATCAACATATTAATGACTGATATGGTCAGATTGGCAATTTAAATATTTGGGAGACAGTTTTAAGGGAGTCAAGACCAGAGGTTCTCACAGTAGTCCAAATGAGAGATTGTGAGGTCCTAGACCGAGGATCATGACACAAGCTTTAGGGTCAGGTCTTGTGGGTTTAAACTGTGGCTTCACTTCTTACTAGCTTGGTGATCTAAAGCAAGTTACATTATCCCTTTAAGACTTGGTCTCCTCATCTGTGAAAGAGGAATAATAATAACATGAACTTCATAGTGTTGTTGAGAGGATTAAATTAAATAATTTATGTAAAACCTTTAGAGTAGTGCTCAGTAGAAATGCTCAACAAATGTCCACTTTCAAAGGTTACTATGGGACTGATGTAAAGGAAAGGAGGGGAGGGAATAAATTAAACCTAGTGCCAGCTTTCACAAAGTTTGTGTATTATTTTGCAGAACAAACAATTCTGTTCTTAAAAAAACATATTTTGGCCATAAATTCAGACCTGTAGAAAAGTTGCAAGAATGTTACAAAGAATTCCTCTATACTTTTTACCCATATTCTCCAAGTATCATCATTTCTCTACTCTACCTTGCCCCACTTTCTCTCTCTCTCCTATATGTATACATATACATGTGCAATGTATGTATATAGATGAGGGTTCTTCCAAAGATTCATGGAAAGATTTGTATTATCTTTTACTACCATTCTTCACCACCTTTTTGAAGTACCCTCGTATTTCTTAAAGCCAGGAATTCTCTCATATAACAACATTATCATTATAAAAAACAGGAAATTAATACTAACATCGACACGTTGATACATTACTATTATTTAATCTGTAGAGTTTGTTCAAATTTTTCCACTTGTCCCGATAGTGTCCTTTATATAAAAAAAAAAAATCTAGGCTTATGCATTGCATTCATTTGTTGTGTTCCTTTATTCTTTTTTAAGCTGGAATAGTTCCTGAGCCACCTTTTGTGCTTCATGAGACTGCTACTTTTAAGGAGTACAGGCCAGTTATTTTGTAGAATGTCCCTCAATTTGGATTTGTCTGTTTCCTCACAATTTTTTTTTTTTGTGTCTTCTTCTGTGACTGGTAAGGGGATCGCAACCCTTGGCGTGGTGTCGCCCGCACCGCGCTCAGCCAGTGAGCGCACCAGTCATCCCTATATAGGATCTGAACCCGTGGCGGGGGCGCCGCTGCTCTCCCAAGCGCCACACTCTCCCGAGTGCGCCATGGGGTCAGCCCTGTTTCCTCACAATTAAACTCAGGTTATGAATTTTTAGCAGGGATACCATGGAAGTGCTGTTCTTCTGAATGTGTTGCATCAGGAGGCACATGATGCCTATCTGTCCCATTATTGTGATGTTAAATTAACTTAGATCCCCTGGTGAAAGTGTCTACCACTTTTCTGCAAAGCTTTTTTTCCCCCTCTGCATTGAAAGGAGTCCTTTCCTTTGTGCCCATTCAGAAGGGTAACACATGACAACAATGTAGTTGTAATTTTTGGAAATAAAAAGGATTTTTGTAATTTTTTGTATTAGACTTGCAGCTTTTCTGTAAGTTTAAGATTGTTTCCGGCCGAGCCCGTGGCGCACTGCTGCGGGTTCAGATCCTATATAGGGATGACTGGTGCGCTCACTGGCTGAGCGCGGTGCGGCCGGTCTCAAAAAGGACAAAAAAAAAAAAAAAAAAGATTGTTTTAAATATGAAGCATTGAAAAATGTCTTGTAAGTTACAAACATACACTTATATTTAATGGCATTAATGAGGGTAACTTTTTTTTGGACAGACCTATTAATAGGAGAGGATGGTTACTTTTACTTTGGGTGACTTGCTTTATAATTTATAATTTTATGTTGATATAACAGGGTCTGCACCCTAGGATAATAGCTGAAGGATTTGAAGCTGCAAAGATAAAAGCACTTGAAATTTTGGAGGAAGTTAAAATAAAAAAGGAGATGAAAAGAGAAATCCTCTTAGATGTGGCTAGAACATTCTATGAAATAAAGTTCATGCTGAACTGTCTGATGTGTTAATGGAGGTATGTGATTAAACATTTCCATTCAGAGTGAATATAGCCTAACACAGGGTGATATTTTTCTTTATCCTGTAATATAATCAAGTATTGCATGTAGTTCTTTTGAACATAAAATAAAATAGAAAAGACAAACATTTGTAGGCTTACCTATGGCCTAGATTTGATTGGCCGGAACAGTACAAGTGCACTTCAAAAAGTTCGTGAAAAATAGAATTAAAAGATAATATGAATCTTTCCATGAATTTTTTGAAGTATCCTTGTATTTGTAATTTTTCAGAACTGTCATTTTAGGCCTTTGAAGTTACTTGAAAGTTGGGAGGGGATTGGATGATACGAGGTGACACATGGTGAAGTTATTTTTGGCAGTGTTCTTTGTAGTTAACATTACCACTTTAATGAACCATGATTTGTCTGATGTGTAGTATTCTCATCTGAGAAATGCATGTTTGTTTTGTTTACTTCCAGAGGTAGAATATGCATACTATAAAGGCAAGATTGGCTAGGTATTTTGGAAAGTCTTTAATCATGTAGCTATTGTTTGATGATAACTTTATTGTTCCTCAGCTTTACAGTTTACAAAACCTGAATATCTTAATTTATTAGGAATGAATTCATGGTAACCAAATTCACAAGGCATTGACATACAAAGCAGAATGCCATCTTATTAATTTACTTTGAGAAATACAAATACCAAATGTACTGAACACCTGAGTTGCTTCTGGTCAGTTCTTTTTACCAGTAGGAAAATCTACATGGGAAATCATATTAAGATCAGATAATCTCTTGCTGAGCAGAGTGAGAATAAAGACTCTGCTGTGTTTTCTGCTGTTGGAGTATTCAGGTGGCCTAGAATCTTCATGCTTTCTGGTTAGGGCACCCATTCTCTTTTGGAGTTAAAGAAACACTGATATTCTCATTATCCAATGGCCTTTGTCTTATTTCCTATTAGGCTCCAGAACCAAATATTGTGTTACCTCAGGTAAACTTTTCTAAGCTATAGTGTTTTTCTTTTCTTTCTTTTTGCTTTGCTTATATTTTAGGGTGGTTATACCTTATATCTTAATTTCTATAGTCAATTATTTTCATATTATTTTCTAAGCTAAGCAAAAAGATGTGTTGTGCAATGGTTCTTAAATTGCATATCCCTGGGGATATGTGGCAGAATAAAAGAGACAAATCTTCTGAAGTGTCAATTTTACTTTACAATTTTGGGGAAAAGCTTTATTTTCACATTCAAACACGTGTATATATTGTGGCATGACATGGAAACTTTTCTTGATAAAACATGAGACTTAAAAATTATAAGTTATTATAGCCAGAAAGTTTGAACTCTTCCCTTAGATTAAATTTCCTCTGTTTCCATTGGTGGAAAAATTTGGGTGGTGTTGGTATGATAGAAAGAGCAGTAGCATGGCAGTTAAACAGACCTGAATTCTAGTCCTGTCTCTGTTACTAGCTGTTAGATCTTATGTCAAGATGGTCACATTTTTTTTTTAATAGATGACTGGTAAGGAGATCTTAACCCTTGACTTGGTGTTGTCAGCACCATGGTCACCTAGTGAGCTAACTGGCCATCCCTATATGGGATCCAAACCCGTGGCCTTGGTGTTATCAGCACCACACTCTCCCGGGTGAGCCGCGGGCTGGCCCAAGATGGTCACTTCTTAAGACCTTATCTCAGTTTCCTTTTCTGTGAAATAAAGAGTTTGGACCTGATGATCTCTGAAGTTCCTTTAGACTCTAAAGTATCCGTTGGCATTGACTGTTATTAGTGCCCATAATAAAGTGGTGCTTGTTGACCTTGACCTGTGTTTAGAAGCCTGAAACCCTATACCTGTTTATTCTGGTGCTAGATTACTTGGGCCAGTGTTTTCTTTTAGAAGTCAAAATAATTAATTGTTCTCATTCACTTCTCTTTCAGGCTGTGGTGGATTCTGTTTAGGCTGTTAGAAGACCGGGTTACCCAATTGATCTCTTCATGGTAGAAATCATGGAGATGAAGCATAAATCAGAAACAGATACAAAGTAACTTTCATAAACTTTGACAATACATAGCTTCTAGAATATTTGGTTCTCTTCAGATATTTTTTCATTAATTTAATTAGTTACTTTTATTCAACGTCAATCTATTCAATATTAAACATATATTAATTGGGTACTTGCCATGAGCCAGTCACTGTTATAGGTGCTGGGAATGAAGAGTAAACTAAAGAGAATTTGTTTCCCCTAGAAGCATACATTTCTAATTGAAACAGATAGTAAAAAAATAAATAAATAATCGTGTGTGATTTTATAGTGGCCAGGGAAGGCCATTCTGATAAGAAACTAAATTAGAGAACTAAGAGGTCTCTGAAGGAATAAAGGAGCTAAGCCATGTGCATGTCTGGAAGAAGAGTGTTCTAAGCAAAGGGAATAACAGTTGAAAAGTTCCTGAGGCAGAAGTGTGCTTGGGATGTTCCATTGTGCCTGGAGCACAGTGAGAGAAGAAAGTAGTAGGAGAGAGGTAAGAGGGGCCTGATTATGTAGTACCCTGTTGATTTTAGATTTTGCTCTTTTTAATCTTTTCTATTATGAAAAATTCTAAAGGTATATAAATAGAGAGAGAATAGAATAGGGAACTCCCACATAACTGTTACCTATATCAGTTTGCAATATACAGCTAATCTTATTTCAACTAAACCCCTCCTTCCTCCCCCACCCAGACTGGTTTTTTTTGAAGCAAATTCAGTATCCTATTTCACCTGTAAATACTTGATTATCTATAAAATATAAGCCCCCATTTTACTTAAAATATCCACAAAACATTATCACATCTAAAATATTAATAGCTCATTATTATCATCATATATCTGACTTGTATTCCAATTTTAACAATTATCTCAGATTTTTTTCAGTTAGTTTTGTTTGGATTAGGATCCAAACACAATCTACCTACTACATTTGATTGCTGTGTCTTTTAAGGCTTTGTTAGTTTATAGGTTCTCTCTTCCCCTCATTGTTTATCTTGATAATTATTTTGAAGAAGACCGGTTGTTTGTCTTGAAGTGTTTTTGTCTTAAGATTTTTGATACTTATGCCATTTTCCTAATGGTTATAGGACTAGTTAGGTTTTCTACTTATTTTTGGAATCATTTTGGTAAGTAATATTTTCAAAGAATTTGTTGATTTTGTCTAAATATTTGGTATAAAATGTTTATAAATATCCTTTTTGGCATAAAATGTTCATAAAAATTCCGTTTGCAAAAATCTCATAAAAGTATGATAAAAAAAAAAGTAAAAAAAGTTCTTGTTTGCAGGGTCTATAATGATATCCCTGTTTTTCCTGGTGTTATTTATGCCATTTTGTCTTTTTTTGATGAGTTCTGCCAGAGGTTTGTTTGGTTTTTGTTTCATAGTGTCTTTCTCTTTATTATTTTATTTTTTTAACTCTTTTGAGATTTGGGTAGACTTATTTGCTGCATTTATTTTTTGGGATAGCTACGTAAGTCGTTAATTTTCAGCCTTCTTTTGTAATGCAGAATTTAAGGACTTAAATTTTCCTCAAAGTTCTATTCAGCTGCATCACTCAAGTTTTGATATGTTAGTTTTATAATTTTTATTCAGTTTAAAATATTTTCTAATTTCCCTTTGAAGTATGTTTTAAGAAATATTTCAAAATATTTGAGAAAATTTACTTATCTTATTAATGATATGTAGTTTAATTACATTATGGTTAAACAATATGTTCTATGAGATTTAACTCTTTTGAAATTTGTTGAGATTTGCTTCTTATCTTATTAATGATATGTAGTTTAATTACATTATGGTTAAACAATATGTTCTATGAGATTTAACTCTTTTGAAATTTGTTGAGATTTGCTTCTTATCTTATTAATGATATGTAGTTTAATTACATTATGGTTAAACAATATGTTCTATGAGATTTAACTCTTTTGAAATTTGTTGAGATTTGCTTCTTATCTTATTAATGATATGTAGTTTAATTACATTATGGTTAAACAATATGTTCTATGAGATTTAACTCTTTTGAAATTTGTTGAGATTTGCTTTATGGCTCAGTGTATAGTCAATTTTTGGTAATGTTTCATGTCTTGAAAATAATGTAAGCTGCAGTTGTTAGGTACAATTTTATATACACGTCCAGTTGGATCAAGGGATCAGTTGTATTAATCTGGTTGTTCAGACCTTCTATATCCTTACTGGAGTTTTGACTATCTATTGCCAAGAGAGATATGTTAATATCTTCCAATATCATTGTAGATTTGTTTATATTTTCTTATAGTTTTGCTTTATATACTTTGAGACTATCTTATTAGATGCAAACCATTTTTAAAGCATTATATTTTCCTGGTGCATTGAACTTTTGTACCAATATGGAGTGACCATCTTTTCTCTAGTAATGTCTTAAAAGTGTAATTTGTCCTATTGTTGATATAGCTGTTGCACCAGCTTTCTTTTAGTTAGTATTTGCCTGTCATATCTTTGTGCATGTTTTTACAATCTTTCTCTCCTTATGTTTCAGATAATTTATTTGTCAGAGCCAGATAGACAGATTTAAAAATATTAAAGGTGATTATATATATATATATATATATATATATATATAGAAACATTTTTTTTTTCCTTTTTGTCTTTTTTCGTGACCGGTAATGGGATCGCAGCCCTCGGTGTCACGCCCGCACCGCGCTCAACCAGTGAGCGGACCGGTCTCTATATGGGATCCGAACCCTCAGCGGGAGTGCCGCCACGCTCCCAAGCACCGCACTCTACCGAGTGCGCCACCGGGCCGGCCCGATAATATTTATATTTTAACTGGAACATTTAATCCATTACATTTAATACGGTTATGGATATATATGATTTTAAATCTATCACATTGTTTTGGACTTTGTATTTATCCCCACTTTTCAATGTTTAATACTTTTAATCTTCTTTTCAATTTATTGAGTATTTTTGTCATTCCTTTTCCACTCTACTAGGCTGCAAGTATCACACATTTTTTGTAGTGTTTTTTTTTTTTTTTTTTATTATGATCAACCTAGAAATAATACCATAGATGCTTAACTTATAGAAGTCCAAACTTAATCAACACCTTTACCTTCCTTCTAGGTAATATCTCCATTTACTCCCTCCCAACCCTTGTTATTATTGTTATTGTTTTTCAAAATCCCACTTGATACCATTATTATGTTTTATACAATGCTTGTAAAGATTTATCCTCATATTTCCAACTTGATTTGCTCTTTATAGCTTTTTACATTTCAGCCTTCCTTGGGATTACTTTCCTTCTGCCTAAAGTTTCCTTTAGTGATAGTTTGCTCGAGGCATGCTTTCAGTAGTTTGCCTGAAAATGCCTTTATTTCATTTTCATTCTTTGATACTTTCATTGTGTATAGAACTAGGTTGGCAATGATTTTCTTTCAGCTGATTGAAGATATTGTTCTGTGAAGAGGGTCTCCTATTAGACTCTCCACTTTGTGTGAGCCCTGGCTTTTAATTCTGTCCTCTTCTCATTTTGAAGTCATTGAATTCAAAGTTCAGATTTGCGTGGATTGTCAAATGACTTTAGGATAAAAGTACCTGCATTTCTCTACTTACCTCTTGGGGTTTCTGTCTTATTTTCAGTTTTGGCACAGTAGTTTTTTACTATCTTCTAGCTCTTTAATGTTGTTAAGGTCTTTGTTTTCAACCCAGAATTTTGGTTGTTTTGGCATTAGGTTTGGTCAAAATTAGTCTACCATTGCTAAGGCTAACAAGCTCTTTATTTATATTCCAGAAGAATATCTGTGGTTGTTGTATGGACAGTACACTGTAGAGCAAGTTGGGAGATGAGGGAGGTGCAAGGACAGAAACAGGAGACCTGTTGTTATAGTACAGGTGAGAAATGAGAATGGTTTAGATCAAGGGTACACTTAGAAGGAAGGGGCAATAGGATTTGTTGATGGTTGGACATGAAATGTGACATAAACTGAGGAGTCAAGGATGTATCTTCGGTTTTTGCATGATCAGCTGGAAAAGTGGAGGTGCCATTTCTTGGGATGGAGAAGACTGTGAGGAGCAGGTTTGGGGAAATAAGTCAGGTGTTCAATTTGGGCAATGTTATGTTTCAGATGCCTGTTAGGCATCCATGTAGGGATGTTGAGTAGGGAGTTGGAGAGATGTGCCTGGAGTTTATAGTAGAGGTCTGGACTGGAAATATTTATCTGAGAGTTATCAGTGTATAGATGATCCAAAGCTATGAAACTTAATGAGCTCATCTGGGAAGTGATTATACATAGAGAAAAAATGAAGTTTAAGGATGAGCCCTGAGAACTCCAATATGTAGAGTCTGAGAAGATGAGGAGCAGACTGAGAAGGGGAGGTGGTGGTCAATGTGGTAGGAAAGACAAGAGAGAGTAGTACCCCAGAAGCCAAGAGAAGAAAATGTTTCAAAAAGGAGAGAATAATCAACTGTGCCATGTTCTGCTGAAAGGTTGAGTAAATTGTGAACTGAGAATTGATTGCTATATTTGGAAAACATTTAGTTTTTTGGTGGCTTTAATGAGAGTTAATTCAGTGAAGAGGTGGAAATGAAAATCAGATTGAAGGTGGGCTCAAGAGAGAATGGTAAAGGAAGAAGTAGGAATGCAAATGTAGACAACTCAAGAAGAGTTTAGCTGTAAAGAGAACAGAGGAGTGGGGCAGAAGCTAGAAGGAAATGTGGGAATGGAGCTGAGGGAGAAGAGCTCTTTGTTTTAAGGCTGAGAATTATTACAGGAAGTTTGTATGCTGATGAGGATGCTCCTACACTCAAGAAGAATTGATATGGGGGAGTAGGGGAGAATACAGGAGCAGAGAGGGAAAATAGAACTTAGTAAACAAGTAGAGGAGTCATTAACCTTAGAGAGGAGCATGGACAATTCATTCCTAGTAGCAGTAGGAAGTTCAGGTTCAAGTGCAGGTGGGTTAATAAGAGGTAGTGATGGGACAATGGTTCTATTTTCCTGAAGGAGTAAGGTCATTTGTTGAGAGAAAGGAAGAAGAGTGACAGAGGCTTGAAAAGTGAAGAATATTAAACATGTAGTTTGCTTGGTTCTTCTAAATAAAATGTCTTCACACTCAGTTAAGAGTTGGAATAATAATCTAGTTAGATTCAAATTTTGAAAACATAATTATGTGAAACAATTAAAAAATATTTCTTTAGTGTATAACACATTGGTTGTAAAAGATTCATAAGTAGAAATGCCATTCCCTGGGCTGGCCTGGTGGTGCACTGGAGAGTGCGCCGCTTGGGAGTATGGCGGCGCTCCCGCCGAGGGTTTGGATCCCGTATGGAGACCGGTTCGCTCACTGGCTGAGCGCGGTGCGGGCGCAACACCAAGGGTTGCGATCCCGTTGCCGGTCCCCGGTACGGGCGCAACACTGAGGGTTGTGATCCTGTTGCCGGTCCCCGGTACGGGCACGACACCGAGGGTTGCGATCCCGTTACCAGTCAGTAAAAAAGATAAAAAGGAAAAAAAAAAAAAAAGAAATGCCATTCCCTAAATATGCGTAAATAAATTCCACAAAGTATAAAAATATTTACTCTTGAAAGAATATTTGGAAAACAAGAAAATAAGCACCGTCCCCCATCCCCCCCACCAATCATCTATAGTTCTGTCACCCAAGCATAATGCTACTCTTAGGTTTCTTCTGTTTTTCCTTTTTAATGCCAAGATGCTTAGTTTTTAAAAGAATAGTTATAATCATGCATTATGTACTATTTGTCATTCTGTGCTGTATTAGTCCGTTTTTGTTGCTTATAACAAATTATCTGGAACTGGGTAATTTATAAGAAAAAATGTATTGCTTACAGTTTCTGAAGCTGGGAAGTCCAAAGTCCATCTGGTGGTGGCGATAGTGACCCAGGGGTCTCACATTGCAAGATGGTGGAAACAGAGAGAGCAGAGAGAGAGAGAGACAGATCTCATCTTTTAAAGCCATCAGAGCCATGCCCTGACCACCATTTTTAATCCATTCACTACTGCAAGGTCCTACAATCCAATCACCTCTTCAAGGTTCCACCTTTCAGTTACCAAAATAGGATTTCCCACCCTCTTAACAGTCACTGTGGGGGCCAAATTTCTAATATGTAAAACTTGGGAACACAATTTAAGCTTCAATGAGTTTTGGGGGGACATAATTCAATCCACTACATGTGCTTATACTGTAAATATTTTTCCATGTAATTAATAGTTTTATGACTATTAAATAATTGAGTCATTATTTGCTAAACAATACCCTATTGTTGGACATTTAGGTTAAGAATTTTTAGTTGTTTGGGGCTGGCCCATGACTCACTCGGGAGAGTGTGGTGCTGATAACACCAAGGTCACGGGTTCAGATCCCATATAGGGATGGCCAGTTAGGTCACTGGGTGAGTATGGTGCTGACAACACCAAGTCAAGGGTTAAGATCCCCTTACCGGCCATCTTTTTTTTTAAAAAAAGAAGTGTTTTCAGGATTTTGCAGGTTTAATAGAAATTTAGTTTTAGAAATTATAAATATATTAATAATTTATAACAAAAAACCAAAAAACCCCTCAAAAAGCCCAACAATTTTTAGTTGTTCCGTATAATTATTTTGAACAAATGTTCCTAAGAAACTCATTGTTTACCTACTTTTTATTACTTAAAAAAAAATTTTTTTTGGCAGCTGGCCAGTACTGGGTGTCCGGAACCATAGAGCCCGGCTGTTGCCTAAGAGCCTGCCTGCCTGTCCGGAGCCAAAGAGCCCGCCCAGCTATTGCCTCGAGGCCTCAGAGCCTTGTTTGCTGTTATCTTCCGTCCCTCCCCCTCCTGTGCACTATGGGTGTAGGTAACTTTACAACTTGCCATAGATAATGGGAATTTTCCATTTACCAGAACAACCCACCCTGTGGTTTTCTCAGTAAACCATCTGCATACTTAATTATCTGCTTATTCCCTCCTGCTGTCTATATAAACTGTGACCTTCTGGCTAATAAACGAGACTTGATCAGAATACTGTCTTGTCTTCATTTCTCATGTCCCTTGTTCCATCCCATTCCCACTCCCCCCTCCAGGGTCTGTGTTGAATATCCCGCGGGTCGGGACATTGGGATCTAAACCCTTGACCTTGGTGTTATAACATCACGTTCTAACCAGCTGCACTAACCGGCCAGTCTCCTACCTTTTATTACTTGATCAGCTGTGTCATATTTTGATACTCATAACTTAGAGGATAAATCTGTTTTGACTTCATTGTGACTTCACAGTCACACTGTGTTAAAATAGATTCTCTTTCTTAATTGTATTAATTATTGTGTATGTTAGGTTTAAAGTTGGGGCAAGGGAACGTGGCCCTGGCAGTTTTATTGCAACATTTAAAAGCATAATTCTAATTTTATATCAAAGTTTAGAATGTATATTCAAAGTAAGGAACAGCACATATTTTTAATAGGTTGATCAGAGGATTAGTTTTGGATCGTGGTGCCCATTATCCAGATACGAAGAAGTGAGTAGAAGATGTATTTATCATCATTTGCCATGTATCACTGAATATGAGAAAACGTATGTGTTAGTTTCTCTTTATAACTTTTGAAGTTGTTATTTCAAAAAGTGCTTTTTAATTTTTTTCTGTCTTCCAGATGTGTAGTGTAGACTCCTTCTACTTTTTCTTCTTTTTTTTCCCTGCCTTTAGTAGCTTGTTTTTATTAATTTTTTAGAGAGGTGAACTCTGGTTTTTTTTTTTTTTTTATAAGACTGCAGAAGAAAAAGAGAAATTGGTAAAAGCTGAAAGAAAATTTATTGAAGATAGAGCACAAAAAATAAAAGACCTGAAAGACAAAGTTTGTGCTCAGTCCAGTAAAGAATTTGTTGTCATTAATCAAAAGGTGAGAAAGAAAGTTTAGATTTTATATATTTGCAGATGGTCTTCAGCATTTCTTAAAGTGTGGTCTGTGGACCCCTAGGAGTCCCTAAGTCCCGTTTAGGGAGTCTGGGCGGTGAAAACTATTTTCATCATAATAATACTGTAAACATTGTGTTGACATTTATAATGATGATGTAAAAGCAATAGTATAGTGATTAACAAATATTATTTTTGGTATTATGTAACCATGAAATGTGTCAACGTTTGGAAACTTTGCCTCAGTGAACGAATATTTACTAAACAACTAAAAAAATGTATGATTTTACAGAATCATGTATGGATAAATAATCCATTCAAAGTATGAGATAGATCAGTGGATTTTAACATGAGAGAATATGAAAAGTTAAGTGATATGGTTCCATGTTCCATATTCCACATTGAAATTAACCTTTGAGAAACTACTACTTGTTGAGTTTTGGTATATTATCAAAGAGGAATATCCAGTTACCTGAAAAGGCTATGAAAATATTTCTCCTTTCTAATGTTTGTGTGACTCAAGATTTTCTTCATATATTTGAACCAAAACAACATATCATACCAAATTGAATGCAGAAGAAGGTAGGAGAATCCACCTGTCTTCTATTAAGACAGACATTAAAGAGATTTGCAAAAAACACTATTACTGCTCTTCTATATATGTTTTTGTTTTGGAAAGTATAGTAAATTTTCATTAAAAATGTTATAACACATGGATTTATTATTATTTTAAACAGATTAATATTTTAAAATTTTCTGTTTTAATTAAAACATTTTTATTGAATCAAAATTGATTATACATATTTTTGGGGTTCAACATTGAGATATGTTGATCAAATCAATATTACTAGCATATATGTTGTTACAATTCATAATTATTCTTTATGCCCCTTGTCTAATCTCTCCCCATCCCCCTCGCCCTCCCCCTTCCCCCTCTAATTACCCTAGATTTCTTCTCTCCTTCCGAAGGAAAAATGGTTACTCTGTTCATTTGTTGCCTAGATGATATGTCCAATGCTTAGAGGTGTGATCAGGTCCCCCAATATTATCATAGAGCAGATGCTTCTTCTGTCACCCTGAAACGGGCTTTGTGGAGAGAGACCTCCTCTCTTTTCTTTATCTTTACTGGTGATTCTCCTTGTGTCAATTCACTCCAGTGGCTGGCGGACCATCTTCTTGAAGGTTGTGGCATCTAGCCACTTTCATGGCAGCCATGATTATTGTGGTGGCTGTGGTGGGCCACCAACATGGAGGTGATATTTTTGGCATGCTCCTTGGTGCTGGTGGTGTGCCTGGTTGTGTGTGTGTGGGGGGTGTCTGGTCCCAGGCTCCATGCCCTGGCCAGGCCCCTGAGGTGCTGGTGATGTGAGTGGTTGTGGGCGGGGGTCTGGTCCCTGCCTCCATGCTTCATGTTCCCTGGCATGCCCTAAGGCACTGGTGGTGTTCCTGGGCCGGAACTAATTTTTTGTCCTTTGCTTACTTCTAAAATGGGGGAACTTCCTGTGGGAACCAGTACTTGAGCTGTGTGGTTGAGCTAAATTGCTGCTTTGCTGCTGTTTCCCTAGGGAAGGCTTTTTGTGCTGCTCAGGGTTTAATGGTTGACCTTATAGGTACTTCTGGCTCTCCAGAGACCTGGTATACCTGGATTGTGTAAGAACTCTGATCTGGGACCAGTCTCCTCTGCATGGTCCTGCACTGATTGGGGGGCAGATTGGCTGTCCTTTCTGTGTCCCAGCATTCTCCTGGTGGGCCTGTCTCCCCCACTGCCCCTGCTCCAAACACTTCCCATAGGGCAGGCCCTGTGCCGGTCCCTTGCAATGACTCACTGGCCTCTAAATGGCTCCCCTGTTTCAGCTGTTCTGGCTCCTCTCTCCTGTGTGGGTCCATGGGAACCCTATTAGTAGTCTTGCTGTCCTGGGGACCACGAAGGCCCTCTTCTCCTCTGTCGCCTCCAAGTAACTCCGTCTGAAGGGCATATCTGCGGCTTCTGCCGGCTCCTGCTCCATGTGCTCAGCAGTTGCAGCCTTAAAGTGACTGTGGCCCAAGATGCTCCGAGCAGTTTTTTCTTTCTCTCATCATGGTTTCTCCTGCCTTTATGAACTCCGTAAGTCTCTCCTCCTCTTCGCCTGAGCTCCAGCGGCCCCAGCTTGGCTGATGTTATATTTTTATAGTTGTAAATTGGTTGATTTGTGGGAGAGAGTGACGCTGGGGACTGTCTATTCCACTATCATGACCAGAACCCTCAGTTTTTTTTTGTTTTTTTTTTTAAAAGATGACCGGTAAGGGGATCTTAACCCTTGACTTGGTGTTGTCAGCACCATGCTCACCCAGTGAGCGAACGGGCCATCCCTATATGGGATCCAAACCCATGGCCTTGGTGTTATCAGCACCGCACTCTACCGAGTGAGCCACAGGCCGGCCCCTGGAACCCTCAGTTTTAATTTATAATATGATAAGTATAGATATGGCTCACATAAACAAAAGCACTTTGAGTTCTTAACTTTTTTTTTTTTTTTTAGTTTCTGCACTTATTAGTGTAACATCTTGTATACTATCTGAGAACTGAATAATAACTAGGTTTTGGGAATAGGGAGACAGAGTGAGAGCTTGTTACATCAGCACTTGGGGCAGTAAGTGATAGTTACCCTCAAGGGGCAACCTGATGACTGCAAGGAATGGATAGAGTAAGCTCTGTACTCCATCTCCTTGTACCAAAAATGCATTTAATATTGAATCCTCAAATAGAGGACATTTCAGATATTACAGTGATAAGAGCAGATACTATATGTAATCTCAGCCAAAGGGCCAAGAAGCAATGTTGATAATTTTTAAGAATGTGCAGTGGTAGTGAGACCAAAAAGTTTGAGAAATACTTGTTTAACCTGTGCTTATAACTTTTACATTAATTCGATTATAGGGAATTGATCCATTTTCCTTAGATGCTCTTGCAAAACATGGAATAATAGCTCTTCACAGAGCAAAAAGAAGAAATATGGTAAGGTAAGCTTATAGATAATTATGTACCCAAAGTTTCTAAGCAGATTAAATTGAAATTATCTCATGTGTATTTCTTTTAGCTTGTATGTAAATATCATTAAGCATAGTAGTAGCATATAAATTCTGAATTTTGTTCTTAGTTTCCATAAATAATCGAACTGTCAAAAATCAAGGCTGTTAGGGCCGGCCCGGTGGCGCACTGCTACAGTGCGCCGCTTGGGAGCGCGGTGGCGCTCCCGCCGATGGTTCGGATCCCACATACAGACCGGCCACTCACTGGCTGAGCGAGGTGCGGGAGCAACACTGAGGGTTGCGATTCCGTTGCCGGTCCCGGTCCGGTACGGGCGTGACACTGAGGGTTGTGATCCGTTGCCGGTCACGAAAAAAGAGACAAAAAGGAAAATAAATAAATAAATAAATAAATAAAAAATCAAGGCTGTTAACATACCTCAGAGCTTTGTTGAAGTACAAGGAAAATTTTCACCATCTTAAAACATATTTTTAAAATAATACAGTACTGCATGATCTCACTTATATGTGGAATGGAAAAAAGTTGAATTTATATAAGTAGATAGTAGCATGGTGGTTACCAGGGGCTGGGACAGTGAGACAGGGGAGATGGTGTGGGGAAATGTTGGTTAAAGGTTACAAAATTTTGATTCAATAAGAGGAATGAGTTCAAGAGAGCTATTGTACAACATGGTGACTATTGTTAATAACAATATAGTATATTCTTCAGAAATGTTGAGAGTAGATTTTAAGTGTTCTCACTACAAAAATAACTATGTAAGGGTAATGCATATGTTAATTAGCTTGATTTAGCCATTTCACTATGTGTATGCATTTGAAAATATCATGTTGTACATGATAAATATATACAATTTTATTTGCCAATTAAAAAAATAAAATAAAACAAAACCCCCAAATAACAATATAAACAGTGACATTATAGTCTTCTGTGTTAGATATCTTTTCACCTTTAAGAAATTAGTCTTTATGTTTTCCATAACCAAAGCTACTGTGACAAATATGTAATTTCAGACTCTCTCTTGCTTGTGGTGGATTGTCTGTGAATTCTCCTGGAAATCTCACTGTAGATTCCTTGGGACATGCTCGTCTTACATATGAGTATACATTACTGAGTATTTCTATGAACAGGGGTTATAAAGTAAAACTAAGCCTTTTAAAAATTTATTTATTATTATTATTATTTTTTACATTGTAAGATGTTGCAGAGCAGTTGGGATGGAGGGGGAGAGAAGAAGGGTGAGGGGGATAGGATGGGATGACAGGAAGGGGTGAGGGGGCCATGGTTGAGGCCTGTGGCACCCCCCGTTATTCCAGTAGAGGAGCCCAGGGGGCTTCCGTTGGGCAGCTTGGCCATGGCTAGGCTGGACATGGACGTCAGGGGAACATGGCTGAGGCCCTTGGTCCCCCACCATCCCCACTTGGGAGCCTGGAGTACTTCTGGCAGAGGCCTGGTGGTTGTGGCTGGGCTGGATACAGATGTTGGGAGGGCATGGCTGAGGTTTTTGGCCCCCCACCACCTTGTCTCAGGAGCCTGGGGTGCTTCCTGCAGTGGCCTGGTGTTTGTCACTGGGCTGGATGCAGATGTTGGGGGGGTGGTGGCTAAGGCCCTTGGCCCCCCCACCCTAAGTCATTTTTTAAAAAAAACTAAACCTTTTAATTCATGTTTTAAATTTTGAGATCTAACTAATCCATAGGAAAGATTTTATAATTTATTTACCTAAATATTTGTTAAGAATTCAACTATAGGGGCCGGCCTGTGCCTCACTCGGGAGAGTGTGGTGCTGATAACACCAAGGCCACGGGTTTGGATCCCTATATAGGGATGGCTGGTTAGGTCACTTGGGAGAAAGTGGTGCTGACAACACTGAGTCAAGGGTTAAGATTCCCTTACCGGTCATCTTTAAAAAAAAAAAAAGAATTCGAATATAACTTAACTACTTTTAAATATATCTTTAGTTGTACTAGATAAGGAAAATTCATGTGAAGATTAGAATTTTAATGTAAACTAGGTCTTGATTTCATAGTGACATTAAATACAGTGTATTAAAGTTTGTCATCTTGCGTCATTTTTTTTTTTTTTTTTTTTTTTAAAGATGACCGGTAAGGGAATCTTAACCCTTGACTCAGTGTTGTCAGCACCACTTTCTCCCAAGTGACCTAACCAGCCATCCCTATATAGGGATCCAAACCCGTGGCCTTGGTGTTATCAGCACCACACTCTCCCGAGTGAGGCACAGGCCGGCCCCTATAGTTGAATTCTTAACAAATATTTAGGTAAATAAATTATAAAATCTTTCCTATGGATTAGTTAGATCTCAAAATTTAAAACATGAATTAAAAGGTTTAGTTTTTTTTAAAAAATGACTTAGGGTGGGGGGGCCAAGGGCCTTAGCCACCACCCCCCCAACATCTGCATCCAGCCCAGTGACAAACACCAGGCCACTGCAGGAAGCACCCCAGGCTCCTGAGACAAGGTGGTGGGTGTCATTCTTTAGGGTGAAGAAAAATTCACTTTTATCGAGGACTGTGTTAACCCTCACTCTGTCACCATGTTGGTTAGAGGACCAAATAAGCATACTCTCACAGAAATCAAGGATGCCATAAGAGATGGACTTTGTGCCATCAAAAATGCCATTGATGATGGTAAGCTCTCTTTTAGTGATGAATATCAACTCACATTTTTTTTTAAGTTTTAATAAATCTGTCATGGTATATATGGTAAATGATATGAATGATTACTGTTTTCTCATTTCACTTTGGACAATTGGTATTTCAGATTATAAAGGTTTTCCCCCCGGACTATTCTTAATAGTATGTTACCCTTTTAATTAACTTCTGTTTATGAAATAAAAAAGCACTTAATTTAATGTTATTATGTCATTTTTTATTTTCAGGAATTTAATTTTAAAACCATGAAAAAGCTTTTTTTTTTTTTTTTTTTTTAAAAGATGTGTGGTGGGGGGGGTTCAACCCTTGACTTGGTGTTGTCAGCACCAGGCTCAGCCAGTGAGCCAACCGGCCATCCCTATATGGGATCCGAACCCGTGGCCTTGGTGTTATCAGCACCGCACTCTACCGAGTGAGCCACAGGCCGGCCCAAAACCATGAAAAAGCTTTTACAGCTTAGAACTCATTCCCTCAGGTGCAGTGTAATTTTAAGAAAGATTAGGAAGGAAAATTAACATTTATTATTTATTGATTGTTTATAACCAACCTCCTTCTCAAAGGAGTTAGAGTAGATAATTCAATAAAAACACATATATTTAAAATAGAATAATAGGCACATGAAAAGATGCTCAACATCATTAGTCACTAGGGAAATGAAAATCAAAATGACAAAGAGATATCATTTCACAACCTAGGATGACTATAACAAAAAAGCTGGACAATAATAAGTTTTGTTGAAGATGTGGAGAAATTGGAATCCTAATGCATTGCTGGTGAACTGTTGGAAAACAGGCAGCTCCTGAAAAAGTTCAACATGGAGTTACTATGTGAACCAGCAAATCCACTATTGGGTATAGACACAAGAAAGTTGAAAACATATAACATATAAACACAAAACATATAAACACAAATTTATACACTAATGTTCATTGCAGCATTATTCATTATAGCCAAACAGTGGAAACAATCCACATATCCATTAGCTGGTGAATGGATAAACAAAATGTGGTATATCCATATGATGGAGTATTTTTCAACCACAAAAAATAAAAAAGTACTAATATATATTACAACGTGGATGAACTTTGAAAACATCATATTAAGTCAAAGAATCCAGACACAGAAGGCCACATATTATATGATTATATTTACATGAAAAGTCCAGGAAGTCTGGTGGACTTCATGAAGTCTGCACCCAGTCCTACTTCCTGAAGTGTTTCTCCTATGTTTTCTTTAAGAAGTTTTATTGTTTCAGGGTGTATATTTAATTCTTTAATCCATTTTGAGTTGATTTTAGTATATG